AAAGGTCATGTTAGGATGATGAAAAAATACAACTGATTTTTAAACTAATATAGAAGGGTTTAGTGTACATGATATGGCACTGTACAAAATTCTATCATCCCTTTCTTTATCTTTTCCACTCCATAGGTTTTTTGAAATTGTCTTGCTGAAGATCTTATTTTTAGAATGAAGTGGAAATGAAAATAAAGATTAAATAATTACTTCTTATTACTTTGGGTCAAGTCCTCTGAATAGCACTAGAAATAATAAATATTGTTTCTTGAGGGTAATTGTAATATATGCAAAAATGGATTGGTGATACATAATCATTAGTTTAATTTGCTGTGTGGCTTGGATGGGCTATTTGCCCTACCATGTAATTTTTTTTAGTTTGTAGAATAAAGAAATCATACATTTCTACTATCAAGGACCTTTCAAAGTCTTAAATTCTGTTTTCTGGAGAATCATTTGGTCATCTGGCAATTCAGCAGTTTACCTGATTTCTCATGTTGTTACCTGGGTGTTTCTGTCTTTGGCAGAAAGTTGTGCATGGCTGCATTGTGTGTATACTCATTAATGTGTGTAGATGACTGCATTGTGTATATACTAATTGATGTGTGTAGATGTGTCTACGGAAGGTGAACTTTACAAGTCTGAAGGATTGAAGACTTATTGTAACTTTGAAATACTATTTGACTCAGCCTCTTTGTTCAGAAAAAATCCATATTCAAAATTATCTAAGCAGATGAAGTATGACTGCATTTTGCAATTCACAACTCATCTTTTTTGGTTTGTTTTGAGAAATTCCTTTGCAAGGTTAAACTAAATCTTTCATGCAGTCTTTCAGTCATGGTCTTTAATTAGAGATGGGTAGACACACATCTGTGAAATATGAAACTTGAAAATATGAATTCACACTGAATCGATGAGAAAACTCAGAGAGATAGGAGTAGTAGGCATATGATGGAAACAGAAGCAGCAGACATCTCCTTATGGATAAAGAGAAAGGAGTACCCACTTACCTACTCTATCCACAAACCAACTTTTCCGTCTGTTTTCCTGCCAATGACTCTACTCAAGCCTGAAAAAGAGGAGCACTCCTCTGTGTGTCTGCTCTGTTGCTGGGTTAATGATTCTGTTTACCTAGATGGGGTGTGTCAGAAGAAGTCATCCACACTAATACTAGACATACCACCAACAAAAACTCACATGGAAGTGTGAATTGGAGGGCCATTTAACACTGTGATTTTCCCCCTTGTACAACAATTATGGAAACATGCATGATAATTGAGAATATGGTGCACACAGTGTGAATGTGAACAGTGTTCACTCGGCCTCATAATCCCTCTTTTTCTGGCTGATGGTGAGCCCATCCAGAGAATGTCACACCAGCCCTTGCTAAGGGGCAGCTCTTGTAATTGTATATTACCTAACATTCCCTGCAGGTGTATTCAACCAAATATTTGCTCACTATGCCTAGAACTTGAGTTTTAGATTCCAAATACATACTGATTTGGTTTTTTGGCAGATTAGTTGGTGTCTTATTCTATTTTTGTCTTTTATTTGATTTTTACTTTGCCTATTCAGTTATTTCTGTCTTGGACAGTTGAGGCAATTAGACCCACAAAGGAATCTTGGGCCTACACTGAGCTTCCTGGTAGTGGTTGGGAACATCACTTTGTCAACATCACATACCTTCTGGTGACCACAAGTGTATTCAAAATTCAGATGTTTTAAAAGGCTTCTTTGTTTTTATTTTATGTATATGAGCATTTTCCAGCTTGTATGCATGTGTATAAGCATGTATGCATGTTCATGTGAGTGTGTGTGTCCACGTGTGTGTCCATGTGTGTGTGTCTAGTGTCCTTGGAAGCCAAATTCACTGTAACTGGAGCTACAGACAGTGGGGAGCCTAAAGAGGAGTGCTGGGAATGGAACCTGAGTTCCTGTAAGATCTGTGGCACTCTTAAGTGCTCCAGCACCCAAAAGATGAGCATTTTAAAACCTAAATTACTCCTAAATAAACTCTCCAGGATTCTGATCTCTTCTGAGAGATCGTGTGTCTAAACACCATGCTGACTCTTCAGGGACACCAAGAGAGACAGTGAAGGCTGGCCACAGCAGACTGCTTATCTGGGTTGATCCAGGGGCTAGCTGTGTGGCTTCCATAGATCTGTTGAATATCTTCTTCCTTATCTGAAACAACCAAACAACAGCAACCATAACAACAAAACCCAAACAAACAAACAAACAGAAAAACCAAGTGGATGCCACCATACTTGTGAGCAAGTGAAGGGCAGAGCACTTGGCCCACTATCTGGTAAATGCTGACTTCTCAGATTGTCTTAGGAAGAATCTGGAAAGTGTGCTGAAGATTGACTGTGGCCCTGAGACCAGAGGGTGAAGCAAGGGTTGACACATCATTGAATTTTAACTTTACAATCATCAGTCCTATGAAGACAGAGTACAAGTGTACAACACAAACAGATTTTGCTCCTAAATAGCAGGAAGGTTTTAGATGAACCTTTGATTCGAAGAGCACATGCTCTGTCTGTGCTTCAGAAGTTGTAAGATCTCATGCTGTCCATACTTCAATCTAGGCATTGAATACCATGTCTTGTTGCTAGTAAGACAATACCACACACTAGTAAATTATAAAGAAAAAAGCTATGACTTGCGGTTCTGGAGGTTCAGGGTCAGAAGCATACATCTAGTAGTAGCCTTGTTAGTGCATTCTGGAGGCTGCGTGCAAGTCTTTTCCTGGTCATTTCCTCTCTTTTTGCAAAGCCACCATGAGTGGATCTACCCTAATGGTATCTGATCTCATCCCCAAATGCCACCTGTAAATATGATGGACTAAGATTTTACTTTGTACTTCATAGTATGTATTAAATGTCAACACAGAGAGCCTTTCAACACATTCAAGTCACCTTGAAGCTATAGCATAACACATTTACTTAAAAATCTTCAAAAATTATACAATGTGGGCAGTGGATCACATGGGCAAACAAAGGTCCACAGAGCTTTGAACTGAGCTTCTGCCCGTGCTGATAAGAAGTAAGGTGACTCAGGTACAGATTGGCCATTAGAGTCCAAATTCAACAGGCAGATTTTCACCTTTGCCTGAGGACTGACCCAATGCCACAGTCTTGTGAATCGAGTAGTTCTGTAGAGATTGGTCTATGCAGAAGAGAAAGACAATTGGTCAGGCATGTCACGGAGGAAAAAATGAGAAACAGAACGTGGTGATGATTAGATTTCAATGTCTGTTAAAATTACAACTGAATTTGAGTAAATTTCTTTTCCATCAAAAATTTCATAATAAATACTTAATTTGGCAGTCTAAGAAATTTTCAATAACATATTATTAGAAAGCTTATGCTCACTCAGGTACACATAAGAATATAGAGGTGATTTTTACTGCATTTGGTGGTTTTCTTTTTCTTTTTTTTTTTTTTTGGTCCTATTTTGTGCTTTTGTTTGTTTTGTTTGTATAACCTCTCAAATCCAGCCATAGCTGTTCCCTTCACAATCAATCTTGTTTCCCCACTACTCATATATATCTTCAATTCTCTTTTTGTACAATAAATCTCATGAGCTGTGGAGGGTGGGGTATGGCAGGGAAACACTATTCGATTATAACATTTTATGGGTTGTCATAGCTCTAATGACATTAGCCACCTAACTGCAAGGAAAAACCTTTGTGATGTCACATAACGGGTTGCCACAGGCTTGACAAACCTTTGTGAAATAAACAAGAGAAAGACACTGAAAACACAGCCCATCTCTGTCCCCACCCCCTGAGTGCCCAGCACTACCCATGGCCATTCCTGTCCTGCTTATTAGCCCCTGAAGGGCATTTTAAATATAAAATATAGATAAAGTCTTCCCAAATCAGAAAGGTCTCCAAGTCTCCAATTTAATTGGAATGGAAAATGCTAACTAATTGGCATCAAAATTTGATTTGTGGAAGAAACCTCCTTTTTGTTGGAAACACAACAGTGTGTCTGGGAATACAAGCCCAGTCCTTCAAAAATCATCTGTGTGTGCCGCCAAGGAATCAATTAAAGTTGATCTGGCATATCTGCGTTTGACAAATATAAAGAAATCTCTGATTAGGCAGAGGGAAAAAACTCACCCCCTCTCTTGCTCCCTCTCTTCCTCTCTCTTTCCTCTGCCTCTTCCTTTCTTCTCCGCATTTCCCTTTAAAGGCAGTAGGTGTCAGAGGGGGTGGGTAGTGATATGCAAAACACGGCCTCCATAACCAAAGTAGCCTGCAAAATTAGGTGTCAGCATGCAAAGCTTATTGATGTATGAATGCGGAGAATGAAAGGCGGCAGCAGACAGCCGGGGCTAAAGGTGAGGCGGACACAGCTAGAGCAGCTGTAGATCCACGTCAAGGTGCCGCCACGCGAGCTCCGGCTTTTTCTGGAGGGCCACAGCCTAACAAGGTAAGCCTGGCCGGGAAATGATGGAACAATACAATACAGGCGCACACAGTGTGAATACCAAATAAACTGACATGGTGTCTCTCCACCCCCCCCCCCGCCTCCCACCCTTCCACCCCCTTCAAAGTATGCCTGTGTATTCATTAATAAATTCATATTCCGAGTTTTCAATAAAAGAAGAAAATGCAGTGTAAACTGGAGTTACTTAGTGACACCCAGCTCATTGCTTTTTATTGTTGCTTGCAGCTACGAAGCCTTCACAGTGCACTAGTAGAATTTATTACTGTCTGTCTCTGTGGCAAGTTGGCGAAGTGCGCCTTTTGAAGAAAATTGACCCACACTTCATGAATATGATGAAAAATGCCAATAACACTACAAAGACGAAGCTCTTGACATTATTCTGCAAGGAGCTAAAAGACAGTAATGAAAGTATTGCAATTACAAATCATTACCTCCTTTCTGGCCAATCGTGGCTCTCTCTCTCTCTCTCTCTCTCTCTCTCTCTCTCTCTCTCTCTCTCTCTCTCTGTCTCTCTCTCTCTCTCTCTCTCTCTCTCTCTCTCTCTCTCTCTCTCTCTCTCTCTCTCTCCCTTTCTCTCTCTCTCTGATACTCTGGATTGCCCCTGGTGCTAGCATGATGGGGCACTGAAGGTTCAGTTGGATTCTCGAAGAAAAGAAAGGCAGCGAGGCGGCGAGGCAAAGACCTGAAGTGTGGGAAGGGGATAGGTGAGCTCCTGGAGAAAGGGTGGAGGTGTTGATGGTGGTGGTGGTGGCTGCAGTGGTGACAGTGGTGACGGTTGTGGTGGTGTTGACGGTAGAAGTTCTTAAAGCCAGGGGTCAGAAGGTTATGACCTTGTTGTGGCCTCTACCATCTGAAAACTGGAACTATGAACACCCTGTCTACTTCTTTGCTGGACTATTCTCTCCGGGCTGGAAACCCTTTAGTTTGGCTTAAGGAGGAGTCACATTAATCTTTTTTCTTTAATTATTTGTTATAAATTCAGTTCAAATATTAAATACTTACTGAAACAATATATTCATATGTTTTCCCCCACAAGGCACCCACCTCTATAATAGAAAGAGGCAACACCAGAGGAGTAATGGAAAAGACATTGTGGGGCGGACCTACCATCCTGGTCCTTTAGAAACTGAAGCTTCAGGGGGTCAGGAGTAGCCAGTCTGTGTTGCATGGTAAGACCCTACCTCAACAATCTAGTGAAGCCCCCCAAATTAGCAAAACTAAGAGAGAAAGAGCCTAAGTGTAGGCTCTAACTTTTGACTTCCACGTACTTTGATGACAGGGGTACTCTACTATTTTAACAGATCTGTGGCATGCGCCTTCTGTTGTGCTGTGATACAGGCACAGTGAGCACCTGAATAGATCATTTTTCCTGACTTATGAACATCCCTATTATTTTTTGTTGCTTAATTGCCATGTGTGTATATAATGAATCTATTTTTATTGTTTAATTGCAGTGTGTGTATATAATGAATCTTAGTCATTTCATCCCCGATCCTCTTACTCACCCCCTTCCCTCTCCCACCTGCTCACTTCCCAATAGGTCTCTGCTAGGTTCTAGTCTTCTTTTTGTACGTAGCTTATTGTGTTTAATTAGTTACATGACTAAATGTAGGCTGGAGGTCATTTAAGAGTAAATCAAGATATCTGTGGCTATAACACTGAAGAAAAGGACACTCACTCTCCCCAGGAAGGTTAGTCCCAGTAGTCCTTCAGGAGGGGTGGTGACTCGTGAGCTCCTCCCTCACCCACGGTGAGGTGCAGCTGTGGTTATCTGTACAAGACTTGCATCTGATTGGGCCCTTCAACCCCTATTCTTTAAAAAGAACTGACACTTAGCTTACCTAGAAAAATGGCATGCTTCTCTCATGAAGGAGGCTGCTAGATATCCAGGAAGTTTGTAAAGAATGTTTGAAGGCATACATAGAATCGTGGAAGAGTTTTTGAAAAGACACAGCAACACTTGAAGAAGTTGCCCTGAGGCTGGGGTTGACACATACTGTGGCATGTACATCTGCTGTTGTGTGTGTGTCTTTGGGTCCACATAGTAAATGTATATTTACAATGTTCATGAACATTAGACCAAACCTCTTCTTTTCTATTATTGTTTAATTCCTTGGCATATGAGTTGGGAGGCAATAAACTAGGCTGTTCTAAAATGTTAGTGGTTAAGCATTCTAGAAATAAATTCCTTATTCATAAAATAATCTTGCATTGGTAATGCTGAGTTTTAGAAAGCTTTCAGTCATGTAAAATTAAAAGTGCAGTCTTATGACATCATCTCTTAAGGGTTTGGGGTCCTTTTTATAAGCCAGTAGACAGGAAAAGTAAGGTTTCCAATGACCCAGGATAGAATTGCTAAGATTCTGTTGATAAGACTCCTAGTTCCCCTTTGGTGATGGAAGAGGGAGTTGACACTGGGCACCAGCTTCCTGGGGAAAACCTTTCTGTCTGGGAGAGTGCCTCTAGCAGTACTGGGAGCTTCAAGCCTGATGTTCAGCTAGTCAGAGCTTCTCTTACTCTCCATGACAGAGAAAAAAACCCTTAGTCATGTTGTCAGGTCATTCTTCCTGCAGCTGGGCAACAAAGTCCAGTCCTGGGCGGAAACAGTGATGCACTTATGTGAGGGGCCACAGTGAGTGGACGGCAGACTACAGGTTTTATCATAGAAAGAATGAAATAGCAGCATGAGAGTCTTTGGACTGAGCCCAAGTCATGCTCAAGCCCTGGTCTCATGCAGGGTAAAGGCCAAAACGAGGGAAGTGTCCTTATAACACTGACAGAGCTAATTATGAGAAGGCTTCCTCCCTAGGCCTGGCCCTGGTTGGAGGTGCTACTGATCTTGTGGGAGGTAGCCACTGCATCAAACCCTGTCTGCTCTGCTTGTATTTGAAGGATCATGAGCCCTTCATATCCACAAGGTTTCTGATTTGGGTAGAGTAGGGTGTTTCAGCTTGTGTGTATCCATTGTGCCAGATCTGTTCTCCTGCTCTTTGCCTAGCCAATGTTTGTACTGATGGCAAACAGAGGGATAAGGAATGTATGCTCATTGGGCATGAATCTGACCACTCCTACATGCGGCAGAAACAACATTAAAAGACCTTCAACAAGGGTGCTGGAATCATGGACTCATTCTGATGTCAAACAATCACTTCTACCCTTGTTCTTAGGCTTTCTGTCAGCTAAACATTTGTGTGAACAGTGTCATTTAGACACGGTGGAGCCTGCACGGCGATGCTCCCTGGGTTTCTTAGCTCTACTTGCTTCTTCAGCTTCCATTTGCTGTAGCCTTCTCATTGGGGTTTTCAAAGGCTGACAAAGCTTGTCAGAAGTCCAAACTAGTTACATTGTATTCGAAGGAGTAGGGGGTGAGTTTCAGCTCAGGAAGGGGCCTGTTTTATTGTGTTACAAGTGCCATATTTCTTGGTGGAAATAAATACCAGATTGTTGAAAGAATGTAGCAACTTGTCAGCAGTTTTGGGTCTAGGTAAATTAGTAGTTAAGGGTTTTTTTCCTGCTTAGAATTGCCCCCGAGAGGCTGGCCTCAGGAGCTCAGCCACCCGGCTCTACTGCCTTGTTACTTGGGCAAAGGAATTTGAGTGGGATTGTATACATAGATTCTAATATCTTGGACCATTTCCTTGCTGTCAGGACTGCAGTCTCCACTCCCCTTTTGCATTTGCTCTACACTGGATGACCATGAGGCCTTGGCTAATGCCTTTTAATATCTAAGCCTTGTACATCTAGTGCTTGGTTAATAACAGGGAAAGAGCTCTGGTGGCTCACCTTGACCTCAAGAGGAAAAAACATCCTTTTAATAATCTGGGAGTTTATTTGGATCGAAGGCATACTGCATGTTACACAATCTTCTTGGAGAGCATGCAGGTCATGAAGTGGCACCCTTGTCTTTTATGAAGTCAGCAAAGACGTATAGGGGCCAGGCTCACTGCTTCTCTGAGAGCCTTCAAATCCATCTTTAATATGTAACCCACTAGCAGAGCAGAAGCCCTTGGTGAGTTTAATGGGCTTTTCTCTTAGAACTTTTCTAAATGTCTAACCTTTGTTGCAATTAAAGTTAAAGGTACATTTTCTGAATGTTCTCAGAAGTGAATGCCCACCTATTTTCTAGGTTCAACCTACAGTCTCCAGTACCTTATAACTATTAACTTTCGTCCTAATACTAAATTGGGAACAACTTAAGGGCAGAGGGAAAGCATGGACCAGTAGTGGACAGTGATGTTTTAAGATGAGTTGTGTGAACAGTCCCTGGGCCACTGGAAGTTCTCAGTCAAGGGCAGTTGTGGCCTGAGGGACAGTACACAATATCCAGAGATATTCTTTTGCTGATATGGGAAGGAGGCATGGGAGCTATTGGTATCTAGTAGGCTGAGGCCAGAGATGATGCTAGCATGTTGCAGTTGCAAGACTGGCCCCCAAACAGGGTAAGAAGACATCTGTGGTACCAAGGCTGAGGAACACTGCTCCTGTGTGCCACAAGACAAGCATTCAAAACACCTGCAAGATTTCTGTTGCCCTGAAGGACCCATTCAGTAATTGTTATTTAGACACTTTATATGCTGAAATTCAACCAAGGTACCACCTGGAAGACTCCTGCATTTTCTTTATTTGCATCCAATCTCCCCATTTTCTGTCTTGCCTTCATTGTCTATCCCCCTTGCAATTTCTCAATACCTACGGGGAAATGTTAGCATACTTCAAGAGAGAATGCATAGAGTCAAAAGTACAGCTCTTTGTAGTTACTCATTTAATCACAGCCACATCTTTTCTGGACCATTCCTTCTAAAGATAAATATGTTTATGCTGCAAGTGCCACCCTGCACAGCTTGGTAAGCCCTTTGGAGATGGCACTGAAGGTAAAGAAACACATTCACAGGATGTTTACTCTAATGATGCTCTCAGAAGCATTTGGGAGTTTTAAACATATGCTTCCAGCATCCCTTCCTATCTTTACATGGCTGCTAAATTGTAGAAAAGCTGTAAATAGAAATAATGGACCCAGTTTATTTTTAATTAGAAAGCTGCTGCTTATAGCTGCAATCGTGACACCACCAAGTATGCCTTCCTTTCATTTGGAAGGAAAGAATAGAGAATTCCTAGGGGTTTGAATCTGAGCCAGGTTCCCTGAGTCGGCTGGTCTCTGAACCCCTGCAAATCCAATGGCTTTCTGTGGCATGTGGCCATAGGCTGATTCTCCACACTACTTAGTAATGTCTTTAGATGAAGCACAAATGCCACTGTTTCTACCAAGTTAAGAATAAATATTTTAAGTTACTATTTTGTTTTCTCGTTTTTTTCTCCACATTTAATTGTTACCCTCCATCCCTCCATTTAGTAAAATAAAGAGTCCTATGTAAATTGTTTCTACTTGCAGATGTTCCTGTTAAGCACTTAGGCTTGGGATAGGAGCAGTGTTTTACTTACTATCTCACAAGTTAACTGTATTCTGGAAAACATACCTCTTATCCTTTGATTATATTTCTGGGGTTCTGGTTCTCTCTCACTCTCCGCTCAGTTGCAAGAGTGTTAAAAAATGAAGACAAGTCTAGTATCCAGCTATTTTAGGACCCTTCATGACTGTTACCTAATACTTTGAATTTCCTGGTAGTAGCCACATGAAGACCTACCTCTGCACTCAGTGTTCTCTCAAACACTGTAATATGTGGCATCCATCCTGCCTTGAAGGAGG